CCTCCGCCTCAGCCTCCGCCGCCTTCTCGTCCTCCTCATCCTCCTCCTCCTCCTCTTCCTCCTCCTCCTCCTCCTCCTCCTCCCCCGCCTCCTCCTTCTTCTCCTCCTCCTCCTCTTCCTCTCGCCTCCTCCTCCTCCTCCTCCTCCTCCTCCTCCTCCTCCTCCTCCTCCTCCTCCTCCTCCTCCTCCTCCTCCTCCTCCTAGCACCCAGCGGCCCGACCCTGGGGGTCAGCGGCAGCGGAGCGCAGCCCCGTGCATACTCGTTCCGGCTCATGAACTCCTCAAGGGCGTGGCCCACCTGCGCCCTCTCGTGCGCCGTGGTCCAGGGCTCGTCCCTGCCGCCGGTGGCCAGCAGCGAGAGGGGGGCGAACTGCTGAAACACGCCCTCGCCATGGTGCTTGCCCAGAATGGTGAGTGCAGCCTTGAGCTGCTCCAGCGCCTGGATGCTGTCCAACTCCATGGCGTGGAACTCTTGCAGCTGCTTGTCCCTCAGAGCCTGAGCCTCTGCCAAGGCCTCCTTTTCGGCGTCTGTCTTCTCCGTCACCTCCTTGATGACGGCCATCAGTTCCGCCTTCTTGGCCGAGAGCGACTGGATGTCTGCCTCCAGCTGCTCAATCTTGGACTCGCTATCCTCGATCGCGTTGGTCTTCTCCCACTCGTTGTTCTCGCACCAGCACTTGAGCTTCTCGTACAACTTCTTATCGTCATCCATCTCCTTCTCCAACGTGTCCTGCATACTCTTCAAAAGGTCCACCACCTTTGTCAAGGGCGTCGACTTCGCGCTTGACCTGGTGCCGTCCAGGGCCGCGTCCCACGTCTGAAGCAGGGCACGCGCCTGGCTGGTGCCAGTCGCGCCATGACCGCTCACAGCCGCGACAAGGCCACCGAGCAGGGCAAGGAACGTGCAAGCGGAAGGAGCTCCTAGCATCTCGAGTCGGCAAGACGCTGCTATATTGAGGCGAAGATGGCCCGGTGAGCCCGAGCCGAAAGAGCTTACGCTCAAACAGGTGCGGATGGCGAGCGATGCTGGCGGTGGTGGAGAATGGTTGTGTATACGATGGCGATGGTGATGCCATGGTGAACGTGGGGACCACGGGTGTACCGATGAGGGTGAGGATGACAATGCCGTTGATGACGGTGACGATGATGATGATGCTGCTGATGATGATGCTGATGATCATGATGATGATGCTGCTGATGATGATGATGATGATGATGCTGATGCTGATGCTGATGCTGATGATGATGATGATGATGATGATGATGATGATGATGATGATGATGATGATGATGATGATGATGATGATGATGATGATGATGATTGTGATGATGACGACGATGGCGCCCACAGCATGCGGCGAACGGGGCTCTGGCACGCGCCTCGCCAGCCACGAGCCCTGCCGCCAGGCCGGGGCTCGCACACGGCTGGGGCCTGCGCCGCCACGAGCTGCAGGCCAGCGCCGGGCGACGCCTGCAGGGGCCGCGGGGGCCGCAGAGGCAGGCCGGCGGCCACGACCTGCCCGCGGCAGACCTCGTGGGCCCCAGGCGCTCGTGCCGCGGCCTGGGTCAGAGTCCCGCGTCACGCCGCGCATGCAGCAGCAGGGGCCAAGGCCTGCATGCGGGCAGCTCTGTGTTGCGTGTGGGAGCGACTGGCGCCTAGAAGTGGCCATCACGTGTCCCCATGAGGCGCCGGTTTGCGCCCAGAACTCCGAGACCAGTGGGCGTGCTGCCGCACTACACCTTCTGGCTGCGGGCTCGGGCGCAGAGCTGTGTAAAGGCCTGGCTGGGCAGCAGTGCCAGGTGACATCCTCAGAGCGAGCACCCCTCGTCGCGTTCGTTCAGGACTGAATGACTCCTGCTGTCCCTCGACTCGCGCTGAAGCTTTCACAACGTGTTCCAGGCTTACCTTGGTTTGTATGGATTTATATGGTGTTACCTGGATGTTCCTGGATCAACCTAGGTTTGCCTCCATTTCCATTGATGTGTCTAGCTTTGCCCCCGCAAGACGGTCAGAAGTAGAGCAAGCGCCCCGATCCATGTGTCAACCAGGAGGTGGGTCACACCAATGATTATGAGCAGGTCGACGTGGCCTACGAGGCGAACCCTGCCTGCGCCAGGGCCAAGTGTGTCGGAGTGAGATTGGCTACTCCGACGTGGGGCGGTCTGTGGAGGCTCATGGTCGTGACAATCGCTCCACGAGGGCGACACGGGGGCAGGCCCACGTCGTAACCTTCACGGCGGGGGCCTCTGTGATGGCTGGCCCGAGCTCGTCCTGCCACTTCTTGATCTCGGCTTCGTCCCCGGGGCCCAGCTCCAAGGCGTCCCGCGTATGGAAGAGCCCCTCTTCAGTCAACAAGAGCTCGGGCCTGGCAGACCCGTCCAGGAGGGCGGTGAGGCTGACTCCTTCTGCTCCTCCTCTTCTCCTCTCCTCCTCCTGATACTCGTCCTTCTCCTCCTCCTCCTCCTCCTCCTCCTCCTCCTCCTGCTCCTCCTCCTCCTCCTGCTCCTCCTCCACCCTCCCCCCCAACCTCACTCACTGCCTCCCCCCTCTCTACCTCCCTCCCTCCCTGTTTCCCCCGTCCCCACGCCCCTCCCTCCCTCCCATCTCCTCCCTCCTCCCGCCTCCTCATCCTCATCATTTTCTCTTCTCTTCCATCCCTGCCTGCCTCTCGCCTTCCTCCTCCTCCTTCTCCCTACATCCATCCCTCTATCCTCCCTCCTCCCAGTCCGGTATGGATCTCAGGCGCCGATCTGGAACAGCGTTGGAGAACTCATGGATCATCAGTATGTGGCGATGAAACTGACGTGCTGAGAGTACCGTCTCCCGTCGAGCTTGTCTTGGACTCATGGCAACGTGTGTGCCGATCAAGCTGCTGCCCTCGCCGCCCGAGATTACGGAGTTGCGGATCACCAGCGCTTTCGCATCGGTGGCAGATCTTCGCGTGGCCCCGCGGCTGCCCAGCAGGTGCGGGGTGCAGAGCGAAGAGCGTGCTGGCCAAGCTGCCGCGGCGCACGGCGTGTCGCTCTTCGGCGAGTGCGAGCAGGCGGAACCACGCTCAGACCACCTCGGGGCGCGGCGGTCCCTATTGGAGCGGGGTGGGCTCACCCCACAGACCACCTGGTATTGGGTCAAGCGGATCGTATTTGGAGATGCTCGTCGTGCGGGCTGTGTGGCGGATCTCCAAACTCGAGGGCTCGCCGACGTGAGTGGCCCCACCTCGCTCGATAAGATCAAGCGTGAGTATTAGATCGTTTGTCTCGGCAGCTTCGACTGGAGGCTTTAGTCTGCAACGGCTGGTTTTCTTCTCAGACTTCGTCTGGATCCCAAACTTCCGAATTCCTCCCTCCTCCTCCTCCTCCTCCTTCCCTGCCTCCCTTCATCTCCCTCCCTCCCTCCTACTCCTCCCTGCTAATTCCTCTTCCTCTCCCCCTCCCCAAACCTCCTTCCCTCTCTCCTGCTCCACCTCCTCCTCCTCCTTCCTCCCTCCCTCCCTCCCTCCCTCCCTCTCTCCCTCCTCCCTTCCTTCCTGCTACTCCCTGCTCCTCCCTCTCCCTCCTCCCTGCTACTTCCTGCTTCCTGCTCCCTCCTCACTCCTTCCATCCCTGCTTCTCGCTGTCCCTCCCTCCTCCTCTCCTCCTCGTCTCCTCATCCCTCCTCCTCTCCTCCTGCCTCCATCCATCCCTCCCTCGTCCACCCCTCGTCCTGATACACAAGTCCTCCTCGTCGCATCACCAGGGGCGTCTTGCCAGGGCGGGGCGGCCACCTCGCCCAAGATCACCCCACCGCCAACGATTCTGAAGCCTCACACTGGTGGGCGGACTCGCTGATGGCGTGAAAGCTGGCCTGACGTCTCCAGGAAGCAGTTCTCTACTCTGGAAGGTATTTCTGGTAGCGGTGATTGCCCAGGGGGGGGGCGGGGGCTTGGGGCCCCGGGTACAGTAGCGATGACGCTTGGGCGGAAGGGGGCACGTCGGGGCGGTGGTGCGCTGCGATCGCCAGAGCGTGCGCGCGAGCACCGGAATGTGGGTGGGGGGGGTGCCCCCCCCTACACACAATCGTTGCTGTTCTCGGGGGGGGGATGGGAAAGGCTTGGCCCGGGTCCCAAAGATCCGATGTCGTGTTTTTTTAATGCGGGGTCCCCGGACGGGTCGACCCATTCCCCAGGACCGGTTCTTCATCCTGAGTCGTTGTTTGACTGTCTTGAGGCCCGCTGAGGGCCCCCAGAGGCCGAAAGCTGCGAAAAACCTCCGTCTTGATTTTTCAATACGTTGGATCTCTGGGGTACCCACTCTGTGGCGCGCCAGAGCACAGAGCAAGCCAGCATCCCGCCAGCGGTCGCCCCTGCCTTCGCTCGCGAGAGTGGCTGCCCCTCGCCGTGCCTCCCCGCGGCCTTCCGCGGGACCTCCTCCGGCGGAGAAAACCAGGCTGCGCATTGAGCCGCATCGCCGATGCATCGGCGACGCGACGAGATCCTCCGATCCTGTCTACTCGGACCCCATTGGGGAGGCTTGGAGTCGCCCTCGTCCTCTGAAAACTTGCCATTGTCATGATTTTGTCATTTAACGTCGACCCGCTCCCTGGGACCGGCTCTTCATCCTGAGTGGCTGTCTCGGTTGGGCACGTCCTCCTGCAGAAGGAGCTTTTGAAAGACACCTGAAAGAGTCCTCAGACAAGGGTCAAACATAGTCAAAAGAGCACGGACAATCGTCACCACACTATTTTTGCCCTAATTACCCAGACATCCGGACGCTCCAATTTTTTGGGTGCGCGGGCCTCAGAGGTCCGGGCCACTTCCCCAGGGCCGGTTCTTCGTCCTGAATCGTTTTTTGACAATCCCGAGGCCCGGCGAGGGCCCCGGATGCCGAAAATAATCCAAACCCCGCCGCTCCAATTTTTTTTGGAGCGTCGGATCTCTGGGCAGTCTTACTCGTAATTTGACTGTCCCGAGGCCCCGGTAAGGGCCCGCAGAAGCAAAGAGTAGAGCAAGCCCTCCTGCCGTGACTCTCTCGTGGCCCGACGGGGCGTGCGAGCGTCGCCCCGGAGGGACTCACCACCGAGCCTCGCGAGGAGGGCCCGCATAGGAGCCGAGGGCAGAGAGAACCTCCCGTCGTGAGGTCTCCATGGCTTCACGACCCAGACATCATCGCGTCGTGAAACAACTCAGGATGGCAAACTCTTCCTCATTTTTGGCCCTGGGGGCCCTCCAGAAAACGACTCCGGATGAAAAACCGGCCCTGGGGACAAGGCCCTGGACTTCTGGGGACGCCGCCCCGACGAAAATCAGGACGTCACATTTCTGGGGATGTCTCCCGTCGTGACGTCTCCCGTCGTGACGTCTCCTATCGGGACGTCTCGCGTCGGGACGTCGTCGTGGGGGTCTGGGCATGGCGACGAGCGCTAAGACCTGCCGCCCCACGAGCGGGCGGCGCTGCCCGCGCAGGCGGCGCCCCGCCTCGGAGGGTAAGCGGGGCATCCCGGGGAGCTGCACGGAGACGGCGGCGGCTGGCCTTCACCGCTGCAGCGCAGCTCCCTCCCCCCTTGGCCTGCCCCTGTCGATGATCCTCAGAACGTGTGTTAGCCCCAACGTGTGTTTGTCCATCGAGGCCCTTCGATACGACGCAGGCGATGTAATGATCTACTGGTTGGGCTGAACGGAGTAACACACACACACACACACACACTTTGGGGTAGCACGACCTTGGGAAGGGCCAGACGTACCCCCATGACGCCGAGCGCCCAGTGAGGTGTCGCAGCGGCCACGATTCCAGCCACGGTGGGCGCCAAAGCGCAGCCGCTGGCCGCCCCGAGGTGGGCACTGAGGCCCCCGTCTCCAGGGTACGTCTGCTCTGGGGTACGGCTGGCCTCCCCTGAGCTCCCTCGTCGTGGTCGTCGCGTCACCGGTGTGACCATCTTGGTCGTCTTGGATGCCATCTTGGGGCTGTCCGGAGCGGGAAGAAGACCGACGACCTTGGAAGGTTACGGGCCCCCATGGGGCGGAAAGGCCGCTCGAGAACGCATTTTCCGTGGCCTTCCGGGTGGCCGACGCGATCGGCCGAACCTCCGCTTGGGAACCTTAAGAGAACGGGCTTCAAATCAACCTAGCGTTTGGCACGCCGTCCACCCTTGTGGCAACGATGTGTGCCTCCTCCTCCTGCTCCTCCTCCTCCTCCTCCTCCTCCTCCTCCTCCTCCTTCTCATCCTGCTCCTCCTCTTCCTCCCCCGCCGCCCCCTTTTGCCTTCTCCTCCTCCTGCTCCTTCTCCTCCTCCTCGACGTCGCCCTCCTCCTCCTCCTCCTCCTCCTCCTCCTCCTCCTCACCACCACCACCACCACCACCACCACCACCACCACCACCACCACCACCACCACCACCACCACCATCCTCATCCTCATCCTCATCCTCATCCTCATCCTCATCCTCATCCTCATCCTCATCCTCATCATCATCATCATCATCATCATCATCATCATCTCATCATCATCTCATCCTCATCCTCATCATCCTCATCATCCTCATCATCCTCATCCTCATCATCCTCATCATCCACCACCACCACCACCACCATCATCATCATCATCATCATCATCATCATCATCATCATCATCATCATCATCATCATCGTCATCATCATCATCATCATCATCATCATCAGCATCATCATCATCCCCCGCCGCCACCTGCCCTTTCGCCTCCTGCCCCGCTCCGCCCCCCCGCTTCGGCCCCCCGCAGCAGCCGCCCCCCCCACCCCGAACACCCCCGATGGGGGGATCGACGTCAGCACTGCCCACTGCAGGTCTACCCCCTCGCTGATGATACCCGCAGGGGCCGCGGCGCCCCGCACGATCTCCAGGAGAGGGACGAGGAGGAGGACGACCAAGCGGCCGAGTCGTGCAACCGCTGACGGGAGCACGGGCCAACATTGGGCCAAGCTCGCCAGAAGACGGGCGATGCAATGCCAACGCGAAGCGTGGAGCAAAACTATTGAACGACCTCCAAAGGCATCCCAGTCTTGGGATGCTTGCCAGCCCGCGCTCTAGTCACCAAGAATTGTTGTCTGCTACGGGCTGGGGGGTGGCCAGATGGTCCTAGGCAGCGGTCTTTACTGAGCTTACAGTTGGCGACCTGTAGGAGCCACACAGGGTGCACACCAGCGCGCCACGGGTCACCAACACTTGGTGCCCATTGAGCTCGACGATAGCTTCATCAGGCGGCGCCCTGACATCATCGGGCCCCCGATTCGCATAATCGGAACCGTCGCCGCCCAGAAAACCTCAGACAAATCCAACGCAACCTGCGCAGCACGAGTGCGAAGGGGAAGGGCAGCCTGGAGCTGGAGATTCCCGATGGCATTCAGCCTCTGTTGAGCCGTAGGCTCACAAGCAGTGAGCAACATCTTATTGAGGCGCGCTGGGGTCCTAGCTACAGCCAAGCACACTTTACATTGGAAAAGGCCCCCCCCCCGCAATACCATACTGTGCCTCTTGAGCGCCACAGGGGCCATACGAGGAGGAGGAGGAGGAGAAGGAGGAGGAGGACGAGGACCAGTGTAAACCCAAGAGTCATCAGCGATGTTGGAGTAAACCCTCCCTCCAAGCTCCCTCTTCACAGGCACCATACAACGGTTCATTTCCATTGATGGAACTGCCCCGTTAGAAGACACCCGTTTGAAGACCCTGAAGCATGCCAAGACATTGTTCTCCGGAGTCCAACGCCACGGATCAACTTAACTGTTGCGTCTGGACGAACCTGAATCATGCCAGAAAGCCATTCGTGGGACTTCAACACAGAGATCAACGTCACTGTTGCGCATACATAATCCTGAATCCTTCCAAAACACCAGTTCTGGTTCGTTGATGATGGGGGCCCGTTAAACCCTAGAAAATGTTGTAAACGAATGTGCGCGGCGCTGAGGCGAGAGCCACATTTTGAAAAGGAGCCGCCCTCAATCCTTAAAGCTCTTGCAGATGTTTTAAACGAATGCGCGCCGCGCTGAGGCGAGAGCCACATTTTGAAAACGGTCCGCTCTCCGTCTGTGAAGCTGTTGCCAATTATCAAGCTTCAGAATCATGAATGGTAAAGAAATCTCAGGCGAAACGCCCGGCCCGCCCTAAAAATTGGCCTCGGGGTGCGACAGGGAGAAATTGTCTCACCAGCCCTCTGGGCGCAGGTGGTCTAGAGCGTTTCCTTTTCCAACCTCCTGCCTTTCCCTGCTCGGGGGGTTCACCCCCCCTTCCTGCGTCTGGCTGGACGGGCTCCCCCGCGAGGTGGCAGAGGGTCCTTTATGGTCCAAGATGGCTCTAAGAGGGCTTAAGAGAGCGCAAGATGGCCTCCAAGATGGTCAAAGATAGCGGTAGATGGGTCAAGACAGGCCTCCGACACACGTCCAAGAGGCCTCAAGTCAACCCCAAGACGGTTTCAAGTGCCCTCCGAGGCCTCCAAGGCCAAAATCCTTCAACAACCTAAGAAAAATCCATGTGGTTTGCTTTCTCGTGGTTGTTTGCCTCCGATGGGCTCTTGAGGCCTCAAGATGGCCCCAAGACGGCCCAAAATTGTCCCAGGAGGGGCCCAAGAGGGCCCCAAGACGGCCCCAAGAGCGCTCCAAGAGCGGGCCAAGAGAGCCCCAAGACAGCATTGTTGAGCCTCCGAGGGGGGGACAGGAATTACGGACCCATGTCTTTTTCAGCGAGAGGGTCCAGGACGGCCCCCGGAGGCCCCTCAGGGATCCCAAAAGAGCCCTAAGAAGGCCTCCAGACCCCCCAAACGAGCCCCACGAGGGCCCCCAGACGCCCCAAAAGAGCTCCAAGAGGGCTCCAAGAAGGTCCTAAGAGGACCTCAAGAGAGCCCCAAGAAAGAGCTCCAGGAGGGCCCCAAGAGGGCCCCAAGAGAACCCCAGAGAGCCCCAAGACGGCTCCAATTTGCGAAACGCACGCGAGCTTAAGATACAAATCAGTGCAACAGCCATTACGAGTCATCGAAACATCCCTCACCCCTCATCGAAGCACCATTTCCATCTTTAACTTCAATGCGGGAAGCTATGTGTGATCCTTGTTTGCCCGAAGACGGCTGCGCGACTGCATGCGTCCTGCCGACCCTGATTCACCAACTCCCCCTACTGATCGTTTCTGGATGGGCTGGTGGGGATTTTTCGTTCGCAACCGCAAGCGGGAGAGCCGCGCGGCGTCGTAGAATCGTACGAAGGCCTAAAACACGGCCAGGAAGCTGGTGGGGATACTTTTTTGACTCGCGGCCCGCAAGGAAAAGTCCAGAGGGCGGTGTGAGCTGGCGGGGATACGCAAAGCGTCAAGAATTCATAAGGAGAAGGAATGGAGGATGAGGAGGAGGAGGAGGAGAAGGAAGAGGAGGAGGAGGAGGAGGAGGAGGAGGAGGGGGAGGGGGACGAGGACGAGCGAGGACGAGGAGGAGGAGCAACAGGAGTTGGCACAGGAACAAGCATTATCGACATAACCTTGCGGAGGTCCTGGCGCGCGGAGGGCGTCAGGGGAGGCGCCAGTAGAGGCGCCGCCAAAGGGTTTCGGCGCCGATCCAAGAAATCCGCGCGGAGCTCCGAACGTTTATAGCATATGGATTCGGATGTGTCTTTTCCACACACACAATCACCAGAAGGCCTCTGTGGAGAAACACACGTTAGCGTTAGCACGGGTATTCCCGATCAGTCGAGGGAGGGGAACATGTTGAAACGGTGGGCGTGAGCCGGGGGGCGTCCTGACTGCTCTTTGTTCTCGGGATCGGCCCCAGGACATCGTATAGTCGGGGTGAGCAGCTATTTGCCTTCACTGCTGGGGACACAGCAGGAGACAGTGAAACGAGTGCTGGGCGACGCGCCATGAACGCGCACCTGCCGCACAAGGGTCACAAGAGGCGTCCCCTCCCTTCTTAGAAGAACAGAAACATATAAACATAAGGTTTTGGAGCTCCGCGCGGATCTCTTGGACCGGCGCCAAGCCCCCCTCCCTGGCGCGCGGAGGGGTTTCTGGCGCAGGTTCAATAAGTCCGCGCGGAGCTCCGACAGTTTATAGCCATTCCCGCTCTCTCTCTCTCTCTCTCTCTCTCCCAGGGAACAGGAAACAGGGAAACGAGCCAGATGCTCATTCTGGGGACCTTCTTGGAGCCACTCGCTCCCCTCGTGCGTCGAAGCTGCGTCGAACATCCGTCGACTCGATCCGAACCTGAGTCGAACCTGAATCGAACTTGAACCGAACTTGAGTCGAAATTGAGCCATACTGGAGTCGAACAGATCCGTTAGGTGTCCACAGGAAGGTTCCCAAAACGAACACTGAAAACGAGCGCTCGGCGACGCGCCATGAACGCGCGCACCCGCCGCGCAAGAGGCGCGCCCCTGCACGGACAGGAGCATGGGGGCACTGCAATCCGTGCCAAACCCCTTCCTAGCAAAACTAAGTTCAAACATTGCTCGGAGAATAAGCCCATCGTGGGGTTGATGCGTCGGGGCGTATTCTTGCTCACCCCACGGCAAAGAACAAAAAAACATAAAACTCCCGAGGATGAGGACGAACTAGGCCTGTCAGGCAACACTTGAGCAGGGACCGACCATCCCGGCATTCCTATAGTCCTACCACGAAATGTTCTTAGAACCCCAAAATGTTCTAAGAACAAAAACAATGTTCTTAGAACATAGACCCAATGTGATAAATCAAAACAATATCCGCCAGAGACGTTCTAAGAACATGTCGTGGAAACCACGAAAGATTCTTAGAACATTGTTTGGTAGGGCTATGGGCGAGCCAGGACGCTTCGCCACTGCTCGAGACACTGGGAGGGCCGTGCCGCTGCTGCAGCCCAGCTCCTGGCCTGCCCCCGGCCCGCGGCCGCGCCGGAACAGCACGCACGTGCTGCAGTGCAGCGCCGGCCTGTCGCCAGGAGGCGCTGCCGCCCGAGGAAGACGATGGATCGGGGGGCGAGGCGGGCCCTGACATCAAGTCGGGCCTGTCCCCCTACAGGGGGATTTAGGGCAAAAATCAAACATTCCCCAAAAATACAACGAAAAGGTCGAAAAATATTCAAAAAATAGTCCCCAGACTATTTTTGGATAACGATTTGCATATGTTTTGGGTATTTTCTATTTTTCGTCGAAAATCCCCCTGCAGGGGGACAGGCCCGACTTAACCCTGACATGCTCTCGCGCCGTGAGGGAGGGTAAAAAAGACGACGGGTCATGGTTTGCGAGTTTCCGCCCCAGGGGGCCCTATAAGGGGTCTTTTGGAAACGGTCGGGACTCCTGGGGGCCCCACATTGGCAACGAATCCGGGCATCGCATGTCTGGGAGAAGCAGGCCCGCGCTGGCGTGCGGCGGGGTAGTTATGCGGAGGACGATGAAAGGGAGGGCGAGCTCAGCACGCGAAACAAAGCCACGCGTGGGAACAACGACAAGCAAAAGTCCCAGGAGGAGCATTTGAGCTGCCAGCCTCAATCTGGGGTCCAGCGGCTGCGAGTTATTGCGGTGTGGGGATTGACCCTGCCAGCTAACATCATGCAGGAGGGGGACAGCTATCAACAGCCTTCGCCAGCGGCGCTTTGCTGAGAAGCTAACGCGCGTCCTCAGGAATGGACCACGGCAGGCAGGCGAAAACCGTCGCAGCCGGGCCACCGCCGCGCGGCCCCGTTGCTTGCATCCTCTTCCTCCGAAGCCAGGCTGGCGCGTCTGCTCTGCTCCGGGGTCCCACAGAGACGCCTGGAGAGACACGGAGCCCGTTCAGGACCAACGCGCGAGTTTTGGGTCTCGATCCCCCGAGAAGGCCTGGCCTGTGCCGGGTGAAGATGTGGGAGGAGGTGAGGGTGGTGGGGGGGGAGGAAGGGGAGAGGTGAGGACAAGCTAGGTGCGCTCGCGTCATATCTGACATCCTACCCCTCCCTCCCATCCCTTACCACCAGGTAGATCCCCTCTCTACTCGCACAGTCGGATGTCGAGCAGAGCAATGATCCCGAAAGGGTACGCGATGCATTGTAGAGCACGGCATGGCATGGCGTAGAAGAGCACCGCAAAGCGTAGTATGTCATAGCATGGCGTGGCGTGGCGTAGTGAAGAATTGCATCACAAAGCTTTGCAACGCAAAGCATGGCATCGCACAGCGGCCCCGAACATAACATTGCATATCATGGTGTTGAAGATCAAAGCGTAGCATGGCATAGCATGCCGTAGCACTTAAACACTGGATATGACAGCTGCAGCTGGCTGAAGGCATGGAATCGCGCAGCGGAACGCAACCTAACATTGCCTTGCATGCCGTGGCATGGCACGGAAAACGACGCCAACGCAGCAGCGGGAGCACGATTCGGAACGAGCGGAAGCCCAGACATGAGGCCAGCGCTGCAGCGGGAACACGATTCGGAACGAGCGGAAGCCCGAAAATGAAGCCCGCGCCTCAGCGAGAACATCAATTTGAAAAAGAGCCCAAGTGAAAACCCAACTCCGGGAAATCCTGTGTGTAAGAAAACAGTACGCGGAGGGGTGCCCGCTATCGTCCGCACGCCATCAGGGGATGGAGGAGAGTAGTATTCCTATTGTGCAACTGTGCAGCAGGACGGGGAGGCGGCTGGGGGAGGGCGCATCCTGGGTTTGACGAGGCATGGCCCGCTGAAGTTTTCAATGGATGCCGTAGTCAACACCGACTGGCCTGTGCCGGATGAGCTGCTCACGCGCGGAACCCTCGATGCGCGGTCGGCAGGAAGCGGTGCTGTCAGAAATCCCCGGGGTCCGCCGCTTGGTGCGGTCCGAGCGGCTGTCGCTTCCTCCGTTCCGTACGAGAGCTTGCCCGACGGCTCCCGAGGCCGAGGAGGCCACAGATCCCGAGTTTCTGATCTGCGCAAAAGCTATCCCGAGATGATTGTCAACAAATAGAAGACGCCTAGCCCTATGGGAGGGACCTACGGCAGGAGGGCCAGGAACACTAGGGATACGGGGGTATGTTCGGCAGGTGTATCGAACCAGACCGCCCAGAATTATGACCCTAATGCGAAGACGGGGACCTCAGTGAGGCTACGTCTTCATCGTGTTACTGGGATTCAGGGCTCTTGTGTCCTCAGTTACAAGCAGCCACATGTCCTTTACAGAAAGCCTCCACGCTCGCCTCTCGGACTCAAGACGCCTGCGCCGCCGGGCGCAGGCTGCAACTGCGAGCCCACGGCTTGGGCAGGGACCAACCGTCCCGGCATTCCTAGAGGCCTACCACAAGATGCTCTTAGAACCAAAGAACGTTCGAATGCCAAAGACAATATCCTTAGATCCTAACGCCGATGCGCTGAGACAAGACAGTCGCAATCAGAAAGGTTCTGAAAACCATACGTGCAAACCACACGAGGTCCTCAGAACATACTCTGGCGGGCCGATAAGCGAGCCAGTTCGCTTCGCCACGGCTCGAACGACAGCGGATAACAAAAAAGCAAGCTGGGGAACGCAGGAGGCTTGGCTTCGAGCTCCCCTCATCAACGCTGGGCCGGCCCCTCGGGGCTCTGCAGCGGGCCCGGCCCGGCCTGGCCTGCCCCGCCGGGCTTGGCGGGCGCGGCGGGCCCGACGATGAACTCGCCCGCGAAGGCCAGCGCGCGAGGCTTCTCCTTGGAGGGCGCTGGGGCTTGGCCTGAGGCAGAGGACGGCTTGCGGCCCTGAGAACGGAGAGAGGACACGGGCGTCACCGAGCCCCCGTGCGGCGAGTGCTCCCCTGGGCCAGAGGGCGCCCGGCGAACGGCGTTGCCGAAGGCCCTGGGTCCAGCTGTCTTGCGGGCCGCGGCCTGCGGCGCGGTGAAGGGCTTGGCGCCGGTGGAGGGGCCCGGAGCGGGGGGAGTGCGCGCCCGCTCAGAGGGCGGAGGCTCGCAGAACCCCTGGTTGGTGAAGATGCTGCGCGCGATGGGCGAGTCGGGCTCGTCCTCGTCGGGCGCAGCGGCCTCGCCGGCCACTGCGGAGAGCGCCTGCCACGCCTGCTCTGAGCTCACGAGCGCGGCCTCCCACTCGGGGTCGGCGGCCTGCATCGATGCCTTGGCGGCGAGGATGATGGCGTCAAAGCCTTCCGAGCCCTCTCCAAGGACCAGATCCATCAGCCCACGGACCCCCAAGACAAGGCGCAGGGCGGCATCGCAGGCTGCCCTGCCCGCGCCCCCGCTGCCCGCTGCCCGCGCCCCCTCCGCCAGCTTCGCCGCCGCCCAGGCGAACGGCTCGAGCAACCTCGGAATGAACTCCACCTGTTGAAGAAGACACAAAGACATATGTTGGGAAGCCAGAAGGTAACGATACCACGACTCCCTAGACCTCTCCCGGGGAGCGATCTGACCAGAACCTCGAGGCGAATCCAGCGGTGGCGACGAGGGCCTCCGAAGAGGCCGAACGAGGGGAAAACGGACGGAGGGCAGCGGTATGGGTATCTCTTCCTTCTCTGAATATAGGCACAAGCACTCCGAACTCCGCGCGGCTTTCTCGGATCCCTGGCGCGCGGCTCACGCCAGGGGCGCGGCTCCGGAGGCGTCGCCAGCAGGGCCGCAGCACTGACCCGAGTCATCCCCGCGGAGCTCCGAGGGCGCGTGCCTCTGCAGTTTGTTGTTCTCTCCCTCGAGCCTGCAGCGCCTGCCAGGCGAGCTCCCAGCTGGCGACCCGGGTGACGATCAGGGTGGACCCGTGCTCCACTATGATCTCACCGCGGAGCCGCGTAGCAAGCTGGCGCACCAGGCTCTCCTTCGGTTGCAACTCATGGGAGCCTCCCATACCATCTTGTCCGCTCTTGCGGATCGACGCTAGATCGACGCTAAATCGACGCTAATCGACGCTAAATCGGCGCTACCTCATCGACTCCCAGACGCTAATCGACGCTAGTCTACGCCGATGACAGAATTACGAGGGTACACATTGTGTAGAATGGTAATTCTGTCTGTGGTTTCACATTGTGTACACATAGTGCACACATAATTACGAGGGTACACATCGTGTACACAGAATGACGAGGGTACACATTGTGTACCTTGTAGCCTCGTCAAGGC